AGAATGGAGAGAGTTATGGCCTTGTTCTGGATTAGACTTTGGCTTAAGGGAATGTTGCAGCTGGTCTGACCTTCTATCAAGACTTCAACTTTTTCCATATCAGCAATGAGTCTGTTCGGCTGGCTTATCAACAGAATACAAGGGAAACCCAAATAGGATTACCGAAGATTTCTCATCAGAAACATTGAAGGCCAGAAGGCAATCAGTTGATACATTCAAAGTGCTGAAGGAAAAAAAAATCAAGCAAGAATCCAACAAAACTATCCTTAAAAAATTAGGCAGAGATTAAGACATTCCTAGGTAAACAGAAACAGGGAATTCACTAGCACTGGATGCTTTTCTTCACGAGAAAAGTGGCCGGACGCGGTGGCTCATGCCTGTAATCCCAGCACTTCAGGAGGCCAAGGCAGGCAGATCATGAGGTCAGGAGTCCAAGACCAGCCTGACCAACGTGGTGAAACTGTCTCTACTAAAAGTATGAAAATCAGCTGGGCATTGGGGTGCATGCCTGTAATCCCAGCTACTCGGGAGGCTGAGGCAGGAGAATCCCTTGAACCCAGAGGCAGAGGTTGCAGTGAGCTGAGATCACATCACTGCACTCCAGCCTGGGCAACAGAGCAAGATTCCTTTTTTTGTTTGTTTGTTTTTTTAAAAAGAAAAGCTATAGAGAGTCCCTGTCCCTTCAGGTTTAAATATAAGGACACCAGACAGTAACTTAAGGCCACATGAAGAAATAAAGACCTCTGGTAAAGGTAAATACATAAAAAATTATGAAAGCTAGTATTATTGTAAGTTTGTGTTGTAATGCTACTTTTTGTTTTCTACATAATTAAAGAGACTCATGCATTAAAAAATTAGTAGTCTCTGTTTTTGGACACACAGTGCATAAAGATACCAACAACTGAAAGGAGTGAGAATAGAGTTGTAAAGAGTAAAGTTAAGGTGGTATAAATTCAAATTAGACTACTGTAACTTCAGAATATTAAATGTAATCTGTAAAAAGAAATCAGCTAGTGAATATACACAACAGAAAATGAGAATTAAAATGTTTCACTCAAAAATCACTGAAACACAAAAGAAGGCATTAATATAGAAAAGGAGGGACAGAAAAGGCAACGAGGCATATAGAAAATAAACAGCCAAAGGACAGAAATAAGTCCTTACTAGGACTCACTTTAAATGTAAATGGATTACACTTTATATGTAAATGTATTAAACTCTCCAATCAAAAGAGATTCGGAAAGTCAATTGAACAAACAAACAAAAAGCATGATCCAACTCCATGCTGTCTCCAAAAGCTACAAAGAGGGTAAAAGTGAAAGAGGAAAAAAATATTCCATGAAAATATAGCAGTTCCCCTTATCAATGGAAGATATGTTTCAAGCTCAGTAGATGCCTAAAACCATGGATAGTACCAAACTCTATACAGTCATTCCTTGATTTCTGTGGGGGATTTGTTTCTAAATCCCCCTGCAGATAACAAAATCCACAGATGCTCAAGTCCCTGATATAAAATAGCATAGTATTTGCATATAATCTATGCACATCTTCCCACATATTTTAAATCATTTCTAGGTTATAGTATCAAATATAATATACATGTTATGTAAACAGCTGTTATATTGCATTGGTTTTTGAATTTTTAATTTTTTGTAGTATTTTTTATTATTATTTTTGAGTATTTTAAATCCATATTGGTTGAATCCATGGATTTGGAATACAGAGAGCCAACTGCATATACTGTGTGTTTTTATCACACTAGATATAATAAAGTTTAATTTGTAAATTAGGCACATCCTTTATATATGGATACTAAAAGTAAATTAACAACAATAATAAAATATAAAAATTGTAACAATATATTGCAATAAGAGTTACTGTGATGCATGTGGTCTCTGAAAATATCTCATTTTACTGTACTCATCTATATTTAGACTGTGGCTAGCTGGGGGTAACTCAAACCATGGAAAGCAAAATTACAGATAAAGGGGGTACTACCATAGTAACCAAAAGAGAAAGGGGTGGCTATTCTAGTATCGGATAAAACAGACTTTAAATGAAAAGGTCAGAAAAGACCAAAAAAAGACTTAATTCATAAAAGGGTTAATACAGCAAGACATAACAATTATAAATATTTACAGACCTAATAACAGACCATCAAAGTATATGAGGCAAAATGGAAAGAACCGTAGAAAGCACTGACCATTTTACAGTAACAGTTGGAGACTTCGATACCCTACCCTCTCAATGATTAATACAACAACGAGACAGAAAACATGCAAAGCAATATTAAGATTTCAGTAACTCAACAAAGCGACTACATCTCAGAGAGATACACAAAATGCTCTATTAGATCCACAGAATACTCCACCTGACAACAGAACCGACATTCTTTTCAAGTGCAAATGGGACATTCTCCAGGACAGACCATATGTTGGATTACGAATTATCCATAAACTTTAAAGACAAATTATCTTCTCCAACTACAACATAAAGTTAGAATAATATAAAGAAAACAAAAAAATCCCAAATTTGTCGAAATTAAACAACAGACCCTTAACAACAAAGGAAATTAGAAATACTTTGAGATAAATGAAAACAAAAAGATGATATACTAAAATTTATGGGATGCCACAAAAGCAGTGCTAAAAGAGAAATTTAACGCCATAAACGCTTATGCTAAAAAGAGAGATCGCAAATCAGCAAACTAACTTTAGAACTTAAGGATCTAGAAAAAAAAAAAATAAACTAAACCCAAAGTAAGCAGAAGGAAGGAAAAAAATAAAGATTATATCAAGGCATAAAATAAAGAAAAGTTAACAAACCAAAAGTTGGTTCTTTGAAAAGCTTAACAAAATTGATAAACCTTTAACTTGACTATGAATAAAAGTATCAGGAAGGAAATAGAAAATCACCATTAGAACACCACAGTAATAATTATGTGCAAAATCCACTGATACGAATGTTCAATTGGTACATAAAAGTTAAAAAAATTATTTATACAGTCTCAGAGTATTTCCTCTACCATACTGATAAATTATGAAGGGGGAAATAGCAACTTTACAGTGAAGAAACACAGTAGGTACCACTGCAGTCAAGCAATCAAAGTTAACATCACCAGCAAAAAGATATCAACATCACTCCTTCTCTGAAATGATGCTCTGAGAAGGGCACATCAGGAACCAAACCCCAGGTCTTATTATACCCCAAAACTTCATAGTGTTAATCATCTTGCTATAAATAAGCATATTTTTTTTCAAGATATTGATAAACGGATTTGTTAGGAGAAAACACCAAGGTACTATATCAATCAGAACATTTTCTCATTTGTGGAATATATCAATTCTGTACAGTTACTCGGAAAAGTTTAAGTAGTGAGAAAAGACAGTGTCTAATCAAGTTTAAGTAGTGAGAAAAGACAGTGTCTAATAGGATATTCCCCAGTCTGATGAATGGAAATTAACTAATAGGGTACAACTGAGGCTAGTATATAAAAGGAAAAACAGAATGGAACGGATATTTACTGGTGCTTGATACACAGTAGGTAGTAATACACAGTAGGCAGTCATAATAATCACAGCAAATATAATAATACATATTTAATTTGAATTTCATTTGATTTGTAATTTTTTATTAAGTTTATAAAATAGTGATGGCATGTACTATTACATTTATTTATTCATTTAACCCTGAAAATAGCTATATGAGGCAGGTACTACTATTAGCCATACTTTGTAGATAAGGAAATAAAGGCATGAAAAGTTGAATTACTCACTAGGTGGCATAAACTACCCGCATTATACTACCTCCCAGAAAATATCAGGAAAATATCAGCTTAATTAAAATGTGCCAGCTAGGATGCTAAATGCCTTACATATCCTAATAATCCTCAAAATATTCCTGCCCAGAGGTTTTATTATACCAAATAAAAAATAAGTAAATAAAAAAAAACACTAAGGCTCTGATTGGCTGCCCAAACACTGCAAGATATTTAGCACATTTGGCTTCTACCTGGTAACTGTCAGAAATGTCCCTCCCCCTCAGTCATTGTGATAAGCAAATATGTGCCCCCCACAAACATTTCCATATGTCCCTAAGACAGCAGTACCTCCCCAAAGTTCTGCTTTAAAAAGTATTGGATGTTAAAGATTATTAGGTGACATGTGAACCGAGATGCATATGATTCCAAAGCCAATGCTCCTTCCAATAAAGGCACTGACTTGTAAAGGAGTTGAGATCAAAACAAACGTACAAAGACAGGAAAACAAAGTTTCACGAAGTGTATGGGGCAATACACTCCAGATGAGGAAACTATAGTAGCAAATAACTGAAAATTACGTTAGTCCATAAAGTATACCAGTAATTTATGTGATTTGTTGAAGTAAGACATAAAGCATGGACTAATTTGTAAAGTGTTTGTAGTATCTACTGAGGAAACTGGGATTTCTTGCAGAATTCTGAGTGAGAACTGACATCATGAACATGGTATGTATTTAAAAAGGTGTAAGCTGAATAAAGGTACAGGGGTAGGAAGAAAGTCTTCATAAAATAACTTATTTTAATTTCGCCAATCCAGTATTTTCAAATCTATTGAGGATGCTTTTCTATTGAGTGTTAAGTAAGCTTTAGAATTTATGAGTAAAAATCATCTACACTACATTAGTGAATCTTAATAAGAAATTCAGAATAGGGGAAAATATTCAAAGCAATGGTAGTATAATTATGATGTAGACCACAAAACATTTTCCCAAACACACAAACATGAACATTTCTATTTTCTTAACAGACTAAAATAGCTTTAGTATATAATATGCAGATATTATAAACGTCTGAAAATGTTTAACATTATAAATATTAACACACAAAAATTACTGTAGCATAGTCTACAACCATATTTTGGTTGTTTAATGGAATTTGCATCCTTTAGCATGTAAATTCAAGAGCCCACAAACACATGCGCACTGCAAACAAAAATTTAGTGATCAACTTCGATCAGTTACCTTTGCAATAATGACTTCTTTCTTCAAGATCTTCATAGCATAGTATTTTCCACTTGCCTTCTCTCGAACCAAAATGACTTTCCCAAAAGTGCCTTTACCTAGTAGTTTCAAATAGTCAAAATCATTCATTGTCTGAAAAATACAAATTAAAAATATAATATGAAGTATTTGATGCAATTTATTTGTTAGCATATATGTATGTGTTTACAACATCCACTCAAAAATAAATTTTACCAATTTATAAGCACATTTAAATGAAAAAGAATCAGACTGGCATTGGCTGTCTCATTAGCAACCATGGATGCTGAAAATAATTTAAGCAGTTCTCAGATATTGGAGAAAATGATTCTGAATCTAAAATTTCTCAGCCAAATTATTAGTTATATAAAAGGGCAAGGAAGAAAAAAAAATTATTTTCACTCATTTTTAAGGACACAAGTTTTCAAGGATTTAGGAGTGCTGCTACCCCCAGAAAATGTGATAATCAAAAATGTTCCACACAAACAATTTGCAAATATGCCTGAAAAAGCAGTGCATTGGAAGGAGCTATCTGAGAATTTACTCTAGCAAAATAACGATAAAATCCAAGAAAGAAAAAGATGTAAGATATATTTATAAGAAATGTTGAGATCCTCGTATAGCTCCATTAACAAGAAATCTAAGAAAGCAGTTATTCCTGAGAGAATAGCTGCAATTCAGAACAGCAAGGCAGGGAGTTCTAAGAAGAGTATCTTTAATTAATCTGTTTTCGGTTTCACTTCTCCTGCTTAAGTCAGGTAATTCCAAGGATTTTGCCAGTCACACTTAGCATTTGTCTCTACAGTCCCCTCTGTGTACACTTTCCCGGCTCTGCTCTATCAACATTCTTCCAGAAACTTCCAAACTTTTGAAAGCACTTGTGGCCTAATGCCCGTCCCCGACCCAGCTTTTCATTTTTGTGGACTTGCCTTCTTTTGAAATTCCTTTACTATCATATTAAATAGGTTTTTGAATAGAAGAGGAGGTGATTGTATGTGGTCAGTTTAAATTTATACTCAGTTTAGAAGTTCATAAATAACAAAGTAAGTATTTAGGTTTTATCTTAAAATCACAAGTCACGGAAAGTTTTAGTGCCTTTTATAACTTTTTTTCTACCATTTATCTAAAGTAAACATGAGAAATGTTTCAAATCAATGTCTTCAGCTTCCACCTTAAGAAACTTTAAAAAAGCAAATTAAACTCAAAATAATTAGAAGAAAATGATAAAGATCAGATCGGAAATCAACTAAATTTTAAAAAGAAAGGAAAACAATAGAGAAAAACCAGCAAAATCAAAAGCTAGTTCTAAAAAATCAATAAAAATTGATATGCCTCTAGCTGGGTTGGTCAGAAACAGCAAGAGAGAAGCACCAACTACCAATATCAGGAATGACAGAGGTGGCATCACTATAGATTCTACAGATATTGAAAGAAATGTAAGACAGTATTACAAACGGCATTTTGACAATAAAATTGACACCTTCAATGAAATGGGTGAATTTCTTGGAAGTCTTAAGCTATGAAAGTGCACCCAAGAAGAAACAGATAAATTGATGACCCTCTATTTATAAAGAAAAATTAAGTTTGTGGTTAAACATCTCTCACCCAAGAAAATTCCAGGTCCAAATGGTTTCACTGGTGAATTCTACAGATATTTAAAGAAGAAATGACACCAATTTTATACAAACTCTTTCTGAAAATTAAAATGAGGAACACTTCTCATTCATTCTGAGGCCAACATCACCCTGATACTAAGATAGGAGTCTGGCAAGTCTGGTTTCCCAAGATGCAGGTCACAAAGCCCCTGCTGATAAAACAGGATACGGTCAAGAAGCCAGTCAAAACTTACCAAAACCAAGATGGCTGTTAAAGTGACCTCTGGTTGACCCCTCTGCTCATTACATATTAATTAGCATATATAATTCATGCCAAAGGAACCTCCCATCAGTGCCATGACAGTTTACAAATGACGTGACCTATCAGGAAGTTACCCTGTATGGTCTAAAAAGGGGAGAAACTGTCAGTTCTGCGAATTCTCTGCCCCTTCCCCAGAAAACTCATGAATAATCCACTCCTTATGCAGCATATGATTAAGAAATAACTAAAAAAATGGCCAACCAGCAGCCTTCAGGGCTGCTCTGCCTATGGAGTAGCCACCCCTTTATTCCTTTACTTTAATAAAGTTGCTTTCACTTTATTCTGTTGCTTGCTCTTGAATTCCTTCTTGTGTGAAGCCAAGAAGCCATGTGGTCTCCCAGGCTGAACCCCAATTTTGTCACAATACCAAAATTAGAGGAAAACAATGCAAGAAAACTATATTCCAATATCTCTCATGCACATTATATAACAATTCTTAAAATTTTATAAATTAATGCCTACATTCACTTTCAACATTTTTTGCTGTTCATAATTTTGATAATTTTCCCCCAAATGTCAAGTTATAGTGTGTTCAATCAGTAATATCTCTAGTTCAAAGGAAAAGATAAAGTAGCAAAAAGATAGGGAAAATAACAATATATATTTATTAATTCAACTAAAAATCAAACACGTAGCTCTAAATACTAAATATAATAAATCACCTAGTGCCATTTGAACAAATAATAGGTGATATTAGATTTAATTTCATTAATAGAGTAGAAAAAAATCAGAGAATACTAGATAACAAGCTATTCGTGCCCAAAGATGGCTGCCACAAATTCTCATGAGAAGAGATGGAGCTAGTCTTATTACTCAACTTCTACATTGATTATATCACTTCTCCCTTTTGAATAGGCATATTTATGCAGTGTGAGATCATGTGATTTCAGCAGGTCCAGCCGTTGTCTATTCTTTTCTTTCTTCTCTTTTACTATGGATACTAGCCACTGCTTTGAGTTACCGCAGTCAGGAATTAGGTGATACAATCCCAAGAACTGGAGTCAAACTTAATGGGAAAACAGAAGGCACTGCTTATACTTTAAACCTAAGTCATGAGATGATAGCCAGTTGATCCCAGAGAGGCCTATGCTGGTCCGTTAAAAATTAAGTAGAACTCTGACTCTCACTTGGCTTTTTATCCTTTTATGCTATGCTCCTTCACATTCTTGACAATGCATATAAGAATGGCAGCTTGGCTGACCAAGATTAGGCACTTCTCATTTCTCTAATCAAATTCCTTTGAAACATTATCTTTTAATGAAAACATAGAAGAGCACTTTCTTTTAATTCAAACACAGAAGAGCACTTAAATCTGTTTGTGAAGTCCTTGCCTCTTTATCTGCTACCCAACATCCTTCCCTTTCCAAGCAAGTTTTTAACTGGCAGAGCAGACACTATGGCGATACTCTACCACTAAGGGAGGTAGTGAACTCTATTTCATGCAAGAAATAGCAGTCTGACCACTCTCATCATAGCCACCATAATCAGTACCTATTCTTTTAATCCTATTGCCCATTTGGCAAAAATTAAACAAAGAAGAACATGTATCCTATAAATTATTAAACACTATTCTTATTTCAGAATATGTGGTTATAGTCTTAAAAATAATCCAAACTTCTGCAATTTTTTGTGATAATTGATATACATAAAGGTATAGTTGTAGAATCATTTACCTTATGAAAATGAAAGTAATATTTTACCACTTGAAGCTAAGTCATTAGGACCATTATAGAGTTAGTAGTGGTACAAATGTTCTTTTTCTGCACTAACTTCTGCAGTAATTTAAAACTATTTTAAATTATTTCAAAAAAAAACACAACCTCAAATATGTAAGATCTTTTAATTGTATACTGTACCATGTCAATATACAGCTTATTTATTTTTCTTGGTTCATATGTCTTGAGCCTCTATCATCTCTATAACTGTTACACTTATAAGCAAGTTCTATTAGTAATACAATTGTGCAGATATTCTCTTATGATTATACTCTGTGTCTCAAAATATTATGAAAAACTGATGTCCTTATATGACATTTGGATATCAGTAAATTTCAATGTATAACAAAGCTTGGAAACTCTTGGAAAAATCAGTACAACTTTAGTATTACAAGGTAGTGCTAGAAAATGAGGACTCTGGAGTCTTACTGCCTGGGTTTAAGTACTGGCTCCCACCCTGTGTGTAACTGTGGGTAAAATTTCTTAATCCTTCCATTCTTCAGTTCCCTTAACTATAAAATGGGGTAATACTGGTACTTATCTCATATATGGTTGAGGTTCAAAATGAAGAAAAATGTTTAAAGTGCTTATGTAATAAGTGTTTGATAAATATTAGCTATGAAAGTTAGCTATTCTTTGTCCACATAAAGATAATTAAACATCATTCTAAAGCAGATTCGCTTAGAATTTTTTTACTACAACTGAGTCTCCAAAACAAAAAATTTACAGAAATATTTTGAATTTGTGGTTCAGTTAATCATATCTGACTTACACTATTCTTCATATCATTTTCAATGAAATAATTTACACATGCACAAAAGAAGCTTTCTTATCTCTGAGTAGGTAGGTGGGTGCAGCTAGACTTTTTTCTTTTTGCAATGACTAAGGAACAAGGCAGGTTAAATTGACATAAAAGAAAAGAGATTCAGTTCAACAAACAGAAAAGAAGTGCTGAATCACTGAAATGATAGTCACCTATTTGGTTCTAAACAACAACATATAGTTCAGATTCATGTGAATAAAACCCATCAATATATTTATATATCATAAGAAAATTGGCTGCCATTTCTCTGCAAATGGTAGTTTGTAGTATGTTTCTTCCAAACAAATGAATGTTGTGCTGGGAATAAGTTATTATTTTCTACCTTTCTTTTATGATGGGTTGTAGAAGCATCCATCTCTTCTTCCCCTATGTTATCAATTTGTGAAGTTGGACTACAATTCATTCTCTCTTCTTCTTGCCTCTGTAGTCTGTCTGCTACAGCCTGGATAGCTTCTGTCCATTCTTCCCTGTAAAAATGAGTACAATTTCCCATTAATAGAAGATGGCAAATTATTTAAATATTTCCTTTTTAAAATATGAAATCGATACAAATAAAATCTATTCAGATTATACACACACAACACACATAAGCATACACTCCCACCATCACCCCAAGGTGAAAAGAATCCTAAATACATTTCACCACAGGCCTAAAGTCTACAGTAACGTTTTTTGGAAGTATGCTGAAGAAAGAGAGAGAAGAAAAAATTTTTTGAAAACTCAAGTTAAAATCACTTAAATGAACAGTTATATTTTATTTGACTGTATATATCCTATTTCTAAACAGTCTCACTCTGTCACCTAGGCTGGGATTCAATGGCATCATCTCGGCTCACTGCAACCTCCACCCTCCAGGTTCAAGCGATTCTCCTGCCTCAGCTTCCTGAGTACCTGGGATTACAGGCATGTGCCATGATACTTGGCTAATTTTTGTATTTTTAGTAGGGATGGGGTTTCACCATGTTGGCCAGACTGGTCTTGACTCCTGACTTCAAGTGATCTGCCCAACTTGGCCTCCCAAAGTGTTGCAATTACAGGTATGAGCCACCACACTTGGCCCATTCTAACTATTAAAGTTGACCCCTGAAAGTTTGCTGCAGTTTTTAAAAGTGTTTTGCTTAAGCATTTCAAGTCCATAATTGACATCCTTAAGATTACAAGGTCCAACAGACATTCCAAGGAAAGATTTTCAAAGCCAAAACCTTTCCCTATTTCTGGATCATACTAAGTTTCTTTAAAAAAAAAAAATGAAATTGTCACAGCTCATAGTTTGAACAATCAGTCTCAAGAGCACCTGTATCAAGCTTTATTTTTTTGACATTTGGCTATCAAATCAAGGGTCATTATTTTTCCATATAAATTGTAAAATCAGCTTGTCTGCTTCTTAAGGTCTACTTGAATTTTGACTGGAAGTATATTAAATGTATAGATCAATTTTGGGGGAACTACCATCTTGATTTAAATCTTCCAATCCATGAACATGGTATAGCTCTACATTTATTTAGGTCTTTAGTTTCCCAATGCAATGCTTGTAATCTTCTGTGTAAAGATCTTTCACATCTTTAACTGAATTTATTCCTACATACAGTCATGCACCACATAACAATGTTTCAGTCAATGATGGACTGCATACACAATGGTGGTCCCCTAAGATTACTATACTGTATTTTTACTGAAGCTTTCCTATGCTTTTATAGGAAAGCATAGGATTTGTGTTCCTATTTGTGTTTAGATACACAAATACTTACCATTACATTGCAACTGCCTACAGTATTCCATACAGTAATTCACTGTACGGTTTGCAGCCTGGGGGCCATAGGCTATACCACATAATCTAGGTACGGGGTGGGCTACACCATCTAGGTTTGTTCAAGTAGTATGTTTACATAATGTTACCTAATGACGTGTTTCTCAAAACATATAATTGTCATTAAGTGACACAAGACTGTTCTCTTATGCTATTGTGGAGGGTTTTTTCTTTCACTTTCTAATTGTTCTTGCTAGTATTTAAAAATACAATTGATGTTTGTATATTGACTTTGTACACTGAAACTTTACTAAATTCATTTATTAGTTCTAGTAGCTCTTATTTTTCTGGATTTTCTACACATGCAACCATACTGTAGGCAATCAAGAGCAGCTTTACTTTGTTTCCAATCCATATGCCTTTTACATCATTTTCTTGCTTTATTGCCCTAGATAAGACCTTCAGCACAATGTTAAATAAAAGTAAAGAGAGCAGCATACATGCTTTGTTTCACAAGTTAGAAATAACATTGAGTTTTCACCCCCTTGAGTATTATATAAATTGTAAATCTTTTATACATACACTTACTTGATCACCTGAGTAAGTTCTGTTCTATTTCTAACCAGCTGCATCTTTTTAATGAAAGTTTGTTAAATTTTGTCAAATGTAAGCCAGGCTCAGTGGCTCACGCCTGTAATCCCAGCACTTTGGGAGGCCCAGGCAGGCAGATTACCTGAGATCAGGAGTTAGAGACCAGCCTGGCCAACATGGTGAAACCCTGTCTCGACTAAAAATACAAAACTTAGCTGAGCGTGCTGGTGGGAACCTGTAATCCCAGCTACTCGGGAGCTGAGGCATGAGAATCACTTGAACCCAGGCGATGGAGGTTGCAGTGAGCCGAGATCATGCCATGGCACACCAGCCAGAGCAAAAGAGCAAGACTCTGTTTCCAAAAAAAATAAAAATAAAAATTGTCAAATTATTTTTCTGTATCTGTATAAAATGATCACAGCTTTTTTATCTTTATTATATTAATAAGGTGAACTTAGCTTAACAGTTTCCAGATGGTAATACAACTTTTAATTCTTGAAATAAGCTTCATTTGGTCACAAGTATCATCCTTTTTACCTTTTGTTTAATTTGATATTTTGTTAACAAATTTTGCATATAATTCACAAGTGTATTGGGCCATAGTTGTCTCTTAAAATAGTATTGTCTGGTTTCACAGTGGCCTTATAAAATAAGTTGAGAAGTATTCCTTTCTCATTATTTCTGAAACAGTTTCTATAGCACTGGTCAAAATTCTTCCTTAAATTTTTGCTAGAACTCACCAATAAGGCTGTCTGGGCTTGAAAACTTTGAGGAAAGGTTCTTAATTACTAATTCACATCCATTCCTTGCTAATGGGTTTTCTAATGTTTTCTTGGGACAGTGTCAGTAATTGGCGTCTTCTTTTTCTTTAACTATATCCGAAAACGTTTTTCAATTCTATTAATTTTTTTTCCAAGTAGTTGTTTGGTTTTATTGATTATTCTCTACTCTTCTGTTTTTCTATTTCACTGATTTCTGATTGGTATTGTTTCTTTCCGTTTTCTTTGGGTTTCATTTACTTTTCTGGTTTCTTAAGATGGAAGCTTAAGTTAATGATGTGAGAACTTCCTTCTTTTTAAAAACAGGTATTTAAGGCTATAAATTTCCCTCTAAGCACTCATTTAGCTACACCCCACACATTTTGATATGTTTATTTTCATTACTGTTCATTTAAAATTATTTTCTAATGGCTCTTGTGAGTTTTGTTTTTGAGGCAATGATTATGTTGTTTAATTTCCAGTAAATGGCATTTTTCTATTGTCTTATTAGTACTGACTTCTAATTAATTCTACTGTGATTACAGAACACACACTGTATAACTTTAATCTTCCAAAATGTATTGAGAATTTTTTTACGACTAAGAATATGCTCTATCCTGATCAATGTACCATGTGTACTTGAAAATGTCTGTTCTGCCACTTTTGAGTATTCTATAAGTATCAGATATATCAAGGTGGTTGATCATGTTATCCTATGTCTTAGCTGATTTTTTTGTGTAGCTGCTCTACCAAGTGCTGAGAATTTTTATATCTCCAAATATGGTTGTGAAATTGCCCATTTTTATCCCTTTACTTCTGTTATATGTGTTGATGACTACTATATTGTCCTGTTCGATAGATACTTTTCTCATTATACAGTATCCTAATAGTCTCTGGTAATACATTTAATCTGAAATAATACAGCAATCCATCTTTCTTATGTTTACTCTTTCCATGATCAATCTTTTCCAATCTATTTATTTTCAACCTATATATTTATCTCTTTTTCTCCTTTCCTGCCTGTTTTTTAAAAAATTATTTTATGTTTTCTCAAAATTCCATTTAAATTTTCCTGTTGGCTTTTCAGTCATCTTTTTTTGTAATTATTTTTATGTATATCCCTAACTTTATATGGTCCACTTATATAACATATGCCAGAATAATTTTTTTATACTTCCATTTCTCCTCCAATTAGCCTGGTAGCCACCATACTCTATCCTTTCGGTAGCTGTAATTGAAATTATAATATTTAACCTTGACTTAGCAAAGTCTACAGCAACCTCCCAAAAAGTTAACTCCATTTTTGTTGCGAACTCAATTTATGTTATTACTTCAGATACTTTTCATTCTTTATAGAATTAAACCACAAAATAAATTATATTTAAAATCAATGCTTATTTTTATTTATTGGTTCATTTAACCATTTTGTTTTTCGTTCCTTTCTGTATCTATCCTCCTGTCTGAGATTATTCTTATTCTGTCTAAAGAATACTAGGTTAGTTATTACAGGAGTGCTAGTGACAAATCCTATCAACTTTTTGGGGGGTGGGGGAAACAGGCTGGTCTTGAGCTCCTGGGCTCAAGTAATCCTTCTGCCTCAGCCTTCCAAAGTGCTGGTACTACAGGCATGAGACACAGCACCCAGCCTCTCTCAATTTTATTACTAAAAATATTTTCATTTTACTTTTATTTGTGGGAAATACTTGTTTCTGAGCATTTATTTTCTTTCAGATCTTTGGGGATATCATTCTATCATCATCATTCCATTATTTGGGAACATCATTCCATTATATTTCATTGTTATTCTATTCCACATATTGATACATTACCTTTTGGTCTATTTGTTGCTGCTCTGAAAGCGAAGTACATTTTTTTCTCTACCTACATTGGGGATTTGCCCACTATTTTTGTTGTTTTTGTTTTCGTTTTTTTATTGTTTTTGTTTCTTCAGACGAGGTCTCGCTCAGTCGCCAGGCTGGAATGCAGTGGCGCAATCTCAGCTCACCGCAACCTCCACGTCCCGAATTCAAGTGATTCTCCTGCCTCAGCCTCCCCAAAGTAACTGGGATTACAGGCATGTAATCTCAGTGCCCAAACCCAGCAAAGTTTGGTATTTTTAGTAGAGATAAGGTTTCATCATGTTGGCCAGGATGGTCTCAATCTCTTGACCTCATGATTCACCTGCCTTGACGTCCCAAAGTGCTGGGATTACAGAAGAGCTCCTATGAATATGATTTTATTGTCTGTTTTTTTCCTCTACGATTTTGGCCACATTGTGAACTCATTTTTAACAAGTCCTGGACACAGAACATGAAAACTGAGATAATGTGAGGCCTAGGAAGATATAATCTTTTAGAGAGAATTTACATCT